ACCGCATGAAAGGCCACCAAGTCCACCTGCACCGCATGAAAGGCCACCAAGTCCACCTGCACCGCATGAAAGGCCACCAAGTCCACCTGCACCGCATGAAAGGCCACCAAGTCCACCTGCACCGCATGAAAGGCCACCAAGTCCACCTGCACCGCATGAAAGGCCACCAAGTCCACCTGCACCGCATGAAAGGCCACCAAGTCCACCTGCACCGCATGAAAGGCCACCAAGTCCACCTGCACCGCATGAAAGGCCACCAAGTCCACCTGCACCGCATGAAAGGCCACCAAGTCCACCTGCACCGCATGAAAGGCCACCAAGTCCACCTGTACCGCATGAAAGGCCACCAAGTCCACCTGCACCGCATGAAAGGCCACCAAGTCCACCTGTACCGCATGAAAGGCCACCAAGTCCACCTGCACCGCATGAAAGGCCACCAAGTCCACCTATACCGCATGAAAGGCCACCAAGTCCACCTGCACCACATGAAAGGCCACCAAGTCCACCTGTACCGCATGAAAGGCCACCAAGTCCACCTGCACTGCATGAAAGTCTACCTGCACTGCATGAAAGGCCACCAAGTCTACCTGCACTGCATGAAAGGCCACCAAGTCCACCTGTACAGCATGAAAGGCCACCAAGTCCACCTGTACCGCATGAAAGTCCACCTGTACCGTATGAAAGTTCACCAAGTCCACCTGTACAGCATTAAAGTCCACCTGCACTGCATGAAAGGCCACCAAGTCCACCTGTACAGCATGAAAGGCCACCAAGTCCACCTGTACAGCATGAAAGGCCACCAAGTCCACCTGTACCGCATGAAAGGCCACCAAGTCCACCTGTACAGCATGAAAGGCCACCTGTACCGCATGAAAGTCAACCAAGTCCACCTGTACAGCATCAAAGTCCATCTGTACTGCCAGGTTCAATGCAAAAACCTAAACACAGTGAAACCAGTTCTGGTTCCTTTTGGTTGGTTGAGGAGAAGAATGAAGACTTGGTGAGGGATGTGTAAGATATTAGGCCTCAGGTTGACATTTACATACCCAGCCATATGTTGGTGGCCTTCAAGGAGAGCTGGAGAGTAGAATGTAGCTAAGAGTCGACACGCAGAAGTAGGGTTATGAAGGCCGGTGGTTTGAGGTGTTGATGGAAGAACGAGCCGGTGGAAATGTACAAATCACATAAAATAATTTGAAGGTTGCAATTATAATAATTCCAGATATGTTCACTCAAAATTCACCTTTTGATTCCTTGAAGCTTGATTTCATGTCTCTCTTTCAGGTGGACAACACAACGGCAGTAACCGGCAGAAACTTCCTCTTTTCTCTGCAGAGGGTGTAACAGATGACGACGGCGGCATCAAATATGGTTCTTCAGATGATGATGATGATGATGAGGTTACATCTGATCAAAGTTCTAGGACTTCCTCAAATCTCCATCCAGTGTTTCGCAGTGCAGATCCATCAGCTGACCCCTCTACACATGGATGGGCCTTTCCTGGCCACTCCCCTCCGGGCACCCATCATAGAGATGGTAGATGTTCTGAGGGCGGTGAATGTTTTTCCCCGGGAGAGGAGCTCGCCTTACGCCAGGGAGGCCACCAAGGGGAGAAGACGCATTCATGTCGCGAATGTGGAAAATGCTTTACCCGGAAACGGAATCTTATGTCCCACGTCAAATCTCACACGGGGGACAAGCAGTTTTCCTGTTCGGAATGTGGGAAATGTTTCCCCCAGCGAGCCAGACTTTTCGTACACCAGAGAACTCACACGGGGGTGAAGCCTTACTCCTGTTCAGAATGCGGGAAATGCTTTATCCAGCGCGTCCGCCTTCGATCACACGAAAGAACCCACACGGGGATGAAGCCGTTCTTCTGTGCCGAATGCGGAAAGTGTTTCGCCGAGCGGTCCAATTTGAACGCCCATCAGAGCTGTCACGCCGGGGTGAAGCCGTACTCGTGCTCGGCTTGCGGGAAAAGTTTCCACCAGAGACGGTATCTGATTTCTCACGAGAGGACTCACACGGGGGAGAAGCCTTTTTCTTGCACTGAGTGCGGGAGATGTTTTGCCGACAGGTCAACTTTAGCCAGACACCAGAGGACTCATTCAGGGGAGAAGCCGTTTTCGTGTTCTGTGTGCGGGAAACGTTTCACTCAGAAATCCAATCTTATTACGCACGAAAAAGTTCACACGGGGGAGAAGCCGTATTCGTGTTCCGAGTGTGGGAAATGTTTTTCCCGAAAATCCTATCTCATCAGCCACGAAAAGACTCATAGAGGGGTGAAGCCCTAGGACTATACTACATGTGTGATTTTAATGTTGTGATTCAAAGGGTGTGTTTTCAGTGAGCCAAAATTCTTGTGAGTGATTATTGAAGTGTTTACCTTTTAAGTCATTTTGAATGTGACTTTCCCAATTTTTCACGTTTGCTCTTCTGTGTTTTGTTTCTCAGTATACCGCGAGCTGTAGCTCGCGGTATACTGAGCTTAGGGTGACGGGAGGACACTAGTTGTGTCCTCCCGTTACCCTAAGTAGAACTATGGGGAAAAGCACTAACCCCATAGTTCTCCTTTAAATGTAAAGATTTGTAGATGATCCACTACAGTCACTCAGCCTTTCCGCTAAAAGTGGATCTAGCATTAGATAAATTGTGCCTGCATGCATGGTAAACAAGGCGTATGTGTTACACACTGTCAGGTAGGGGGCTAGGCCTCTTCTGATTCTGATTAGAGCATTGGTCCCTTAGGTGGCTTCTGGGCTGCAGGCAGTTCCTAGTTCATTTTGTGCCTATTAGCCGCTGTTGCTGTGTTGCCCACCTCTCAGCTGGAGTGCTTTTGAACATCCCAACTGTGTCCCTTTATGGTAAGAAAATAGGATTTTGGTACGCACCATAAAATCCTTTTCATGGGATCCCTTGAAGGACACTGATCCCACCTCTATTCGTTTCTGTTCATGTTCTTGGTACTGCTTGCTACGAATGAAGGTACGCTGGGTAGAGGAGGGTTTTCCGGGAGTAACTAAAAATCCAACCTATGTGTGGTAGGAAATTCATCCTTTGAGTGATAGTCGCAGTTACAGCAAGACTGTTTTGCATGGGCACTGGCACCCATGTTTGCTCTAAACCTTGCTTCAAGGTAACCTGTCATGAGGGTAGCCCACAGAAGGTAAGCAGTAGCCAACGGTTCCTTCATCTCTGCTCTAGGGACAGCATGGGTAGTTTTCTGTAGTAGAAGCATTCCATACATTGAAGGCTGCACATGCTGACCTTTTGAAATGCGTAGCTGCCTGGCAGTCATGCTAACCCCCCTCGCTTCAGTACTTTGAGACAGCGACCTGGAACATGTTTCAACTAAGGACTTCTGACTTTTCTGATTTGCATATTTCAGTCGCCCAGAAATGAATAAATGGGGGTCACCCAGTCAGGCAACTTGTATCTTCAGTAGATCAGCAATGGCGGGCCCTATATTGCTCTCATGAAAGGTTAATGACGATTCACTTTGGTTCCATCGATGTGTAATGACCATTCACTTGTAATTCACGTACTGTAATCCTCTTTGCTTTGTGAACCTACTGCTATGGGAACATTTCTGAATGCTTAGGAACTCTTTGGAGTTATAATTTAATGGCGGCCAACATGCAGTTTAATTTTCATTTACCAAGTGTTAAAAAAGGAGGAATAAAATCAATATTGTTGAAGAAACGTTGACATCAGGAACTGGTTCGCTCAATCGGCTCATTGACGGAAAGCGAATGTAAGCCTCTGCGTTGATTACGTCTGAAAATAAAGGCGATTGCTTGGCGGGCGTGATCAAGATGGCGACCGGAGCGCACCTGTGAGACCTGAGCGGTTTTTCTCTTATCCTGTGACTTCTAGCCCTGTGGGACGATACTGTGTGGACTAGGTGGTCGGCTCCATGCACTACTGAACACCTTGAACCTGACCTCACAAATGCTCTTTTGGCTGAATGGGTCCCAAAGACACACTCCAAAATGCGTAAGCCTTGATGGAAAAATGGAGGCTGGTATAGCCACAGGAAGGGGGGCAACCCCATATTAATAGCCACGGCTTGGGATTAGGATGTCCAACAAGCTCATATAGGCGGGATGGTGATGTGTCCACCCACTTTTGATCACATATTTCATAGGATCCTACTAGTCTGCAGCTTTAGCCTACGGCCACAGACAAATGTCAGCATTGTGTATTTGAGCCGGGCGTATTTTAGTGTTCTTCATATATGGTTTATTGAATATTGACACATATACAGAGATCCAGCCTATCAAATAAAGAAGTTACATAAGGCCACGGTACGGCTGCAAAGTTCAGAGATCTCACAGCTAAGTTCCAGGTGTTACCAAATCAATAGAATTGACATAAATAAACCAACGATGTGTAAGTGAAAGATGATTCACAATACTTGTGTGGTAGTAAGGCCATTTATCAACGTCAATTAAACCAAAGCAGCAGCAAAACAGAACTCTTCGCCGGAGGTGGGTCAATGTAAAACTCTGCTGTACCTAACGGACATCGTTCCATCGCTGGCCAAGACCCGGCAGAATCTCCATTGCGTGGCCAGTGGGGGAGCAACAACACAGTGGAATGTTTTACCGGTGTTCTGTTGAAACGGCCAACTCGTCGAAGCTCTCCAACTCGTAACGTCACATTCGTTGGAGATTTCGACGTGATGGCGCTAGTGTGCGAGCCTTGGCATTTTTCCGAGCCTCGTCGACCTGTCCTAAGTGCGCCCTTGCAATCCTCATCGAGTTCTCCGGCTGGCATCACTGCTTGTGCCATCGGATCGAGCGCAGATTAGAGAATGTGATAGTGGTCTCAGGTGACCGCGCAGGCGCACTGATGGGAGTTGGAGATCTCGACAAGTTGGACATCTCAATAGAACACCGGCAACAGATCTGCTAACATAGCTCTTACTCCTTCAAAGAGAGACCTTACTCCCGATAAGTCCTCAGCATGTGCAACATGTATATTGTTCCCCTGAGTTCTCCTAAAATATATAATTCTATGTCTCTGAAAGGTGCCATCAATTTCTGTGTTTCTCCTCCAAACAAGCAACGCATTCCCTTCCTTTCTTCAAAGGTTTTTGTTGTATTTTTTTTTCTTTCCATCTCTGCGTCCCGTCAGCAATTCTCTCAGTTGTCTCTATAGGTCTTATAGGTGTAATCGTCCCAGCAAGGACCTTATTCAAAAATCTGATTTCCTGGTTTTCAGAAAGGTAACGTGATTGAACAAAGGTATCGTCCATTGGCCAACTTCAGTCATGTGTATCTGAAATGAGGGCCCCGTGATCTGCGTTTACGCCCCTGCACACTACAATACAATTTCAATACAGGAGGGCCCCGCTGATGAGAGATTAGAATCTAGTAGGAGGAGCAAGCGATACAAAAAGTAATAATTGTGTAGGATGAGCCAATAGAAGAACAGGACAGTTACATTGTTGAGGTGGTATAAGCTTTCCCCGAAGGGATTCAAAGATCGCCTAAGGCCTCGTTCACACCATCCTCAAGTACACTCCGTCCCGATTGTGGCCAGAACGCACTGGATCTCATTGCGGCCGGCTCAGTTTGTTGTGGGGCGGGAGGGGGCGTGGCGATGCATTGAAGTGAATGGCACCACAGCCACGCCCTGCAGGCTGTAATGCGATCGGCCACATGGGAACGCAAGGCACTGTCTGTGGTCCGGTCAGAAAAAAATGCTGCAAGCACTATTTTTTTGGACCGGACCGCAGGCATTGATGTGCCTTGCGTTCCCATGTGGCTGATCGCATTGCGGCCGGTAGTGGCTGTGGTGCCATTCACTTCAATGCATCGCCACGCCCCCTCCTGCCCCACAACAAACTGAGGCGGCCGCAATTAGATCCAGTGCGTTCCGGCCACAATCGAGAAGGAGCGCACTGAGGATGGTGTGAACGGGGCCCAAAAGCGGACAGAGTAGGAGATAAGCGGACATATTGGAGTACGGAGTTTCAGAGGATGGGAGAGGCTTTGGAAAAGTCCTGGAGGCGAGCATGGGAGGAGGTGACGAGGGAGCGCAGGAGGATTTGGGTGATATTTTGAGAGGAGGTTGCTGATGTAGTTTGGGGAGTTGTGGACGGCTTTGTTTGTTCTTAGTATTTTATTGGTTGGGCAAGTGGGAGCCAGGAGAAGGATCGGCAGACACTGAGCGGTTGGTGAGGCGGATGAGTCTGGCAGCAGCATTCATGATAGACTGAAGGGGGGAGGAGCCTGTTAGTAGTAGACCAACAAGGTGGGAGTTGCAATAGTCGAGGTGAGAGATTACGAGGGAGTGAATTTAGAAGCTTTGTGGTGCTATCTGTTGAGAAGGGACAGACTTGGAAATGTTGTGGAGTTCGGGTCGTCAGGACTGGGATAGTGATTGGACGTCGGGGCTGAAAGAATACTTCAGAATCAAGGATTCCACTGAGCACCCGGGCCGGAGGGGAAGGCTTGATCGTTGTGCTGTTGATTGCTCAGTAGCAATAGGTGTTACAGCTTTTATTTAAAATAGTTCCTCAATAACCACAAACGATCGAAATCCACTTTCATTATTTTATTATCCTTTCTTTCATAAGCTTGGCTCAAGGGATGACTTTCAATAGATCGCAGCGAGGTAGCTGCTCTGCTACGTACGAAACCCTGACCCAGAATCAGGTCGTCTGTGAGGGCCCAGTCACACCATCAAGAGTGCGTTCGGCCTCTGGAACGCAACACGGCCGGCTCACTTTGTTATGGTGCGGGACGGGGCGTGGCTGTGCATTAAACTCAATGACACCGCAGCCACGCCCCCTGCCCGCGGTGTGATCGTCTGGAACCCGAATGCGTGGCACAATAGTGCCTGGGTTCCGGTCCAGTGCGAGCTGCAAAAAATGCTGCAAACACTAAGTTCTGCAGATCGCACTGGACCGGAACGCAGGCACTAATTTGCCACACATTCGGGTTCCGGCCATCGCACCACGGGCGGGGGCGTGGCCACGGTGCCATTGAGTTTAATGCACCGCCACTCCCCCTCACGCCCCAAAGCAAAGTGAGCCGAACCAAGTTGCATTCCAGAGGTCGAACGCACTGGAACGCACTCTTGATAGTGTGATAGGGCCCTGAATGATTTAGCACCGGGTTCCCAACGAACATGTGATGCGCTCCAGGAGAGAGGCGGCCCGCTTCCATCTACGTGCCGGCCCCTGGTGGGCTGGTTGCATATCCCAGGCCGACCTGGACTCCGTGGCACTGCGGTACCGTCGCAGAGTATCATCGTAAATCCACTTTATGGGAACCATTACCTTGGAGAAGTGGCAGTGTCTTCATCATTGTGTTGTACAAAGTCTGTGCAGAGTAGAGCAGTGGGAGGGGCCCAGAAGGTCACACCCACTAAGGCTGACTGCAGGAACCTACAGGAGGGTGTGGAGACAAGACCAGTCACTCCGCACAATGAGAGAGAAAAGCAGTGACTGGTCTTCATTACAAAAAAGTTTAACACTGATTAATGCACAGATCTGGAAATACACGACGACACCAAGATTGCCGTAAGAATACACATGGAGTTTGTCTTTGGAGAATGTTTGACTATCCCGGAGTTCAGCTTTTCATTTTCAATTGGATTACAGGCCTTATATAGTCCAAGTTTTCAAAATAAATTAGGTTACAACTGAGGCAGCAAAAGCATTTCCTAGAAATGGGAAAAATAGTTATTTGAAGGTGGTGACCCTTTAAAAAACAAAAAATTAATTAAACTGTAGTTAAAAATGTTTTTTTTTTCCACACAGATATAAAAAGCCGTACGGCCTCTCACTTACAGAGGAACACAAACTATATGTACCTTCTCATGTCTCATGAGGTACGATTTCCGAGAAAAACATTTCCTGCATTCGGAACAGGAGTACGGCTTGTCCCCCTTGTGAACGTTTTGGTGTGCAACAAGATTTGACTTCCGAGAGAAACATTTCCCGCACTCGGAACAGGAAAGCGGCTTGTCCCCCTTGTGAACGTTCTCGTGGGCGATCAGATTCGATTTGCTCGAAAAGCATTTGCCGCACTCCGAACACGAATATGGCTTCAGCCCCGAGTGGGTCCTCTGGTGTTTGGTTAGGTTAGAGCTCTCGGCAAAACATCTCCCGCATTCGCTGCAGGAGAAAGGCTTCTCCCCCGTGTGGGTCCTTTTGTGCAACACCAGGTGGGCCCTCTGGCTAAAGCATTTCCCGCACAACGGGCACGCAAAGGGTTTCAACCCCGTGTGAGACCTCTGGTGGGAGATCAGCTTGTCTCGCCAAGTAAAGCATTTCCCGCAGATAGTGCATGAAAACGGTCTCTCGCCCGAGTGACTTCTCTCGTGCCTAATCAGGTTTGACCGTTTGCCGAAACATTTCCCACACTCGGCGCAGGAGAACTTCTTCAGCCCCGTGTGAGTTCTTTCGTGAGATACAAGGTCGGCTTTCTGGTCAAAGGCTATCCTGCATTCGGAGCATGAATATGGCTCCTCCATTGCTTTATGTAGGATGGGATCACCTCCCTCGGAAAAACACCCCCCAACTTCAGAATTCAAGGACAGCTTCTCTTCCGCGTGATACTTCTGGTGTGATAGAAGCTCCTCCCTTTCAGTAAAACACTCCTCGCATTCCGTACAGGAAAACGGCTTCACCCCCGGGTGCGAACGCAGGTGTAAAATTAGGTTTTCCCGCCGGGTAAAACTTTTGCTGCATTCAGAACAGGAAAACGGCTTCTCCCCGGTGTGAGACCGCTGATGGTAGATCAGCTTCTCTCTCCGAGCAAAACATTTGCCGCATTCATTGCAGGAAAAGGGCTTGAGTCCCGTGTGCGATCTCTGGTGTATAATGAGATTTTCCCTCTGGGTGAAATGTTTCCCACACTCCGGGCAGCCGAATGGCTTCTCCCCTGTGTGGATCCTCTGATGGGCCATCACGGTTTTCCTCCGGGTAAACCGCTTCCCGCATTCAGCGCAGGAAAACGGCCTCACCCCCGTGTGAGATCTCTGATGCAGGATGAGATTCTCCCTGCGGGTGAAGCATTTCCCGCACTCGGAACACGGATAGGTCTTCTCCCCCGCGTGACTCTTCTGGTGTGACCTGAACTCTGCTCTGTCAGTGAAACATTCACCGCAGTCAGGGCATGAGTATGTTCCGTAGAGTCCCGGGAGAATGGGGTTTACGTGGGAAGGATTAGCTGGGACGTCGTCATCTTCTTTTTCCGCACCTGGAGAAGGAATGTGACGCTGCGCCGCGGTATTCCTGATGTATCGTCCATCTGGAGGAAGAAAGAAAAAGGATATAAATACATCTATCGGCGTGTGTAAGAGACTTCCCTGCAGATGGACTCCTGCTCAAAAATGTGCCTGCGCACAATCAAGCAGTCTATTGCTTAAAGTTCCGGGAAAACGCTCTTTAGCACGTGAACGCGCGCGTATGGGAACGTTTATGCACAATAGTGCACGTGCTGAAGCGTGCTAGTTAGCGTACAGGTGCATGCTCATTAGCGTGCACACTATCCTATATAAACAGGCATGAAGCCATGACCAAGTTGCTGAGTGGTCTTCAGCAAGTCCCTGTGTGCCCTGTACTCTGTTCCGGTATCCTGACTTCCTGTGTATGAACCCGGCTTGTGAACAATTGACTCCGCCTCCTCCTCCTGATTCGTTACCTCTGCTCTCTGATCTCCTGTGTATGACCCTGGATAAAAAATACAAGACGATCTCTGAATGGCAGAGCTGCCAAACGAGTGACTCCCTGTGTTTAGATGGTCTCTGCCGGGTGCTACTGGAGCGACTTGCCATCTGTGCACTGAACACAGGGAGTCGCTCGTTTGGCAGCTTCGCCATTCAGGGAGCGTCTTGTGTTTTCTCAATAAATACAAGGTGTTCTCTGATTGGACGAGGAGGTGACCATGACATTATCCACCCCTCCTTTCCGTCTCATCAAATTAGAAAATGCGTTATCTGCATTTTATAGGATGCAAG